TTAATGGCATAACGTTTGTTGCGTGCAGAAAAATAAAAAAAAAGTTTTGGGAGGTGGCACGCAAATAATACAATAAAAACGAGTCTGGGCCGCGCGAACTTAAAAGTAAAAGACGACGTACTGCTGGGGGGTAAAAAGCAGAATAACTCTTCTGCGAGGTGAAAAATGTTATTTTGATGGAAATACACTCTCTAATTGTTATGTCCACGCGATGCACCCGCCGCCGGGGGAGAGGCAATCACAGCGCGACATTTTATGTGCGCACCAATCAGTGTTCACGCTGATTAGATTCGGCATCAGACAGTCTCATCGTTCGTTGATCGACGGCTTCTGCTCGTTTTTTGTGTGTGTGTTTTTTTTTTTTTTTGTTTTTTTTTGTCAAAAAGGCAGAAAAATGATTGCGTTCTTATATATTTATTATTCGGGTGGACTTGAATCTTAAAATGGCCCGTTCGCTGTCCAGAGGTGCATAATACTTCTCAGCTATACACACTAAATGGCAGGGTTGGCATGAAGAATTAAATGGTGCTAAATTGGGCGAAAAGGGGCAGAATGTAATACAGCTGGGGACACCTACCGACTACAAAACACTACTACAAAATTCGCAGTCGACGGCTTCATGAGCGTGAGCTAGGTCGGGCATCGGCTGACGCTAATGGCACTGTAGTGTGACGTGAAGTGCTAAATTTTTTGACCGAATTTGACTCAATTTAGATTTAATTTAATACTCTATGCCAACCCTGCTAAATGGTGTAGACAAAACCATGGCTGCAATTTTTTTTTTCAAATTTGTTCATTATTGAGTATATAAAATACTACGCAAGGTGCGCATGTATCTTTACACATAAGCTGCGTACGAAAAAGGTTCATGACAATTATTTGTGTGAATATACTTTTTCACGAAACGTAAAAATGAAGAAAAAAAGCTGGTGTGAAAGCCGTTATGGTAAGAAAGGGGCGGCTGAAGTATGCGTTTCGAGCTTGTGCTGCTTCTGTTTTGGTATTTGGTCCTCGAGGTTGTGAGGGGTTGGGAAGGGGGGGGGGGGGCTTTTTTGGCACGGACTGTTCTGCTATTTGCACCCGGACGGGTCGCACCGAAAGAGAGAGAGAGAGAGAGAGATTGAGAGAGAAAGGGGGAAAAGGGGGAGGGGGCCCACACTCCACACTGGAAAAACAAAGGTAGTGCAAACAGCCTTCTTTTAAAGGCATTGCTAATGGGAAATAAGTTAGATTCTTTTTTCTAAAAATAATTTTTGTCAGTAAACAGCAATTATATATTTTGCAGCATACCATCATATTCAGCCTAAAATTTGCTTCGGACGAGCCTACCTTATCTAATGGGGGTCTTATCTGATCCCTACTATACAAATTACTGTAATGACTCAGAAGAAATCAACTTTATTTGGGCTGTTTTTTGTTCAGACGGAATGTAGGCTCGTTCGCCGCGTAAATTTTACGCCGAGTACGAATATGTGCTCCGCTCGATGCAAATGCTGTCGTCGGCCAGAAGATATTTCGAACGAACAAAAGACAATAACGGATCTTGTCTTTAACCTACATTGGGGCGTGTTACCTTTTCTTTGAATCAACCGATGGGATTATTCTCTGTTCTATCGGAGCTCTCAGCGCTGCAGTCTGCTGTCGTTTGTGGCGCTCGCTCAGCTCACTCCAATCGGTCGAGGGTATATCGGAAACGAAACTTTGGACAATTAGTGGGGGAGTCGAGTGTCGAGTTGCGCTGCACTAATGAGCCAGTCGACCAGCCCCGCGCCATTCTCCTCGTCAACAAGGGAGAGAGGGGGGGAGGGGCGGGAAAGATGACTGCCTCATACTGACTGACGGATTGACCCTGACTGACTGACTGTTTGAATGACTGACGGATTAACCCCGACTGACTGACTGACTGTTGGAATAACTGCGACGGATAAACCCTGACTGACTGACTGTTTAAATGACTGACTAATATGACTGGCTGACTTACTGACTGTTTGAATGACTGACGGATTAACCCTGACTGACTAAACTAACTGACTGACTGACTAAACTAACTGACTGACTGACTAAACTAACTGACTGACTGACTAAACTAACTGACTGACTGACTGACTCACTAACACTGACTGACTGACACTGACTCGGTGACACTGACTCGGTGACACTGACTCACTGACACTGACTGACTGACTGACACTGACATGCTGATTCACTCACTGACTGGCCTATTCCGTACCGACTTCCTTGCTGCTCTGATTGACTAAATAATGCGCAGAGGTGGAACTCGGTGATCAGCAGCCGATGAATAGATGCGGGGCCTCTCAGTTCGCCGTGGCTGCAAACCCCTTTTATTGAAGCTTATAGAAATGGGGAGTGAGCACGATCAAGAGCGCAATTCGCTCGGGCTGGATGGAACTCATTATTCGTGACTCGATGCGCGGAGTCGGGGGGGTTCTGTGATGCGAGAATGCGGAGCTTGATTGTAGCCCGCTGTCTCTTTTTTTTATCATGATTATTTTCACCGACGGCGGTGTGTTTTTCTGTCTCGCTTTATATGCCCAGTCTCTTGCTCTGTCTATACGGGGGTGGCTGGGTGTTCGTCTAAGCCGTACTGCCGCGTGTATACTTTTTTTTCTGATTATACTGTACCGGATGCAGAGGAGCGGACGGGTTGCATACTCGCACGGGGCCGAAAGCAGCAGGCATAGCACAGTAGTGCTGGGAGTCGATAGGCAAGCCCGCCTGCGTGCTGTAGTACAGTGATGTGTACCCAGAAAAAAAGGTACGGCCTATAGAACACCGTCCCTTTGCGTCCGGCCAGTGCCTCTCTGCGTCCACTCAACTCCCTTTTCCCCTCTCTCTCTTTTTTTTTTAAATGGATGTGTACAATTTCGTACACGGTTCATATTTCTATGTTGACGCGCGCCGGGTCAGGTTCAGGTGTACGAAAGGAGTGCGTTCGGCCTCTGGCCCCGCTAATGCGCTGCCCTATACTGTACAGCACACACAGTCGGGGAGGGGACTAGTACTCACTCCACGCGGCCCGCTTTGATCGGTACAGTGGCCGTTTTGGTACACGACATGCGAGGAAGAGCCTCACAAAAATAGACCTGAACTCGACATATGAAATCGATTTTTTCTCGGTAAATTCGTTGCACTAATATTACCAAGTAACCAT